ACTCAAAGCCCTTGCCCCAGCAACTGCTTCCTTTTCTCTCCTTAAATCATCATTAACTCTCCTTTCCTGCTGGTCACGTCCACATTAGTATAGCATATTAACATACTATATAATCTCTGCATCAGTGTAGGCAGCCTCTAGGATGGTCCCAATGATCAACCTTCAAATTAACAATTTTAGAATGTCCCCTCCTACATTTAAATTTAACTAGGGCTGGTCTGTGTGAACAATATGTAGAAATTATAGTATTTATTTCTAAAAGTAGGTTACAAAAGTCACTAACCCTCTCATATCATTGCTTCTATCTCTTTCTCTCTGATCAATCATTCTGAAGAAAAATATCCTGTCATGAGGAATCTCAGGCCCATACGGTGAAAAATTGAGGTCTCCATCCAAGAGCCACCAGTAACTATTTAAACAAGCTTGGAAGCAGATCCTCCAGACCAAGTCAAGTTTTAAAATGACTAATGCCCAGGCCAACAGCTTTGACTGCAACTTCATGAGAGACCATAAACTGGAATCATCCAACGAACCACTCCTAGATTCTTGACCATTAGAAACTGTGTGAAGTAAAAAATGTTTGTTGTTTTTTAAACTGATATATTGTGGGATACTTTGTTACATAATAATACATAACTAACACAATATCTAAAATATGAAGAAACAAACCCTCCCTCAAACTCCATAACCCTTTTACCAAAGGTCCCATCTTACTGCTTCTCTTTCTATAAAAAATCATCATAGGAATTGCATTTAGTCACTTTCCTTCTTCTATTCCCACTTGAACTCTCTTGAATCAAAATAACCAGAGGCTCATGTTACTAAATTCAATGGTAACCTCTTGATTACCAAGCTGTGTTTGTTCTGCTTGAGGATATTCATTTCTGCTACAGAAAAACAAAATGAGATAGAAACTTAACATATACAAAGTAAGTAAAGCATGTGTAGTAAACACAGAAAAGGGCAGAAAGACCAAGAAACATTTAACATTCTTGAGCCACCTAGTTACTAAGTATACAGAAGAATAAGGATATATTAAATATACATGAGATGTGAACACAATATGCATGAGGCCTTACTATGGCCACCCGTCAGTGACACCATTCTGACTCCATGTGTCCATAGCCTAAAAAACACAAAACCCATGGCTATTTTGTAGGTTAACTGCAGAACTAAAGCTGTGACTAGGCATACTTGTCCCTGGATCTGTGCAAGAGAGGATGTCTTAGGCCCAGGGTACCATCTGTGTGGGCTCTCGGGCTGAAAAGGCAGAGGCAGGACATATACCCACCAACTCTATGTACCTTAGGATTCCGGTGATTTTTCCACCAACTTGTACTCTATCCTAAGTGTGTTAACTAATCTCATTTTTTCCCCTTGCTTCTCTCCATGTATTCTACATTTATTTAATAAACCAAGTAAGGGGCACTTGGGTGGCTCATCAGTTGAGCATCTTGATTTCAGCTCAGGTCACAGTTTCACAGTTCATGTGATCAAGCCCCGTGTTGGGCTCTGTGCTGACAGCATGGAACCTCTTTGGGATTCTCCCTCTTCTTCTCTCTCTCTGCCCCTTCCCCATTCATACACATACTCTCTAAATAACCTTTAAAATAAGTAATAAATAAACTCACAAAACATGTAATATAAGCATTTTGTCCATGTATCTTTTCTCCTACAACCTTTGAGATGGCTTGCCAGGCAGTATACTTGGGAGTCTACCAATGCATTAGAATAATTTGCCACAGGACATAGGTCTTCATCGGACTCTAAAAACAGAATTTGATAGTTACTCACTTTCTTTGTTTGAAACATTTTCCTTACATAGCCTCTGGGTCAGTACTCCTGGTTCTTCTCCTCTCCCAGTGGTCACGTCTTTCCCATCTCCTCTGAAGTGCTAGAACCACTTCACTATTCCCTAAATAGCATATCCAGTCTCACAGCTTTAAATAATATCTACAGGCTGATGAGTCCCAAATTTTTATCTCTAGTCCCACCATCTTACCTAAACTCCAGACAGTTTAAAACCAAATTTTTACTATCTACCTCAAAACCAATTCCTCTCTTTCCATCATTGCAATGGTCTCCTAAATGGTCTCCCTGTTTCCCAATTTAGACCCACTTCAGTCTACTCCCAATCCAACAATCAGAGTGATCCTTCTAAAACATAAATCAAATCATATTAATCCTCTGCCCAAAATTATTTTAGGTATTCCCACATCCATCACAGTCAAATCTAAATTCTATGTAGAGGTCCTGGATGGCTCAGTTGGTTAAGCATCTGACTTTGGCTCAAGGTACCGTCTCACGGTTCATGAGTTCGAGCCTGCATCAAGTGGGCCTGAGCCCTGCATCGGGTGAGCTCCACTTCTCTCTCTCCATCATGAGATTCTCTCTCTCCTTCTCTCTGCCCCTGGCTCACTCGCACCCTCTCTCTCTCTCTCAAAATAAAAAAATAAACTGTAAACATCTAAAATAAAATGAAATAAAATAAAATAAAATAAAATAAAATAAAATAAAATAAAATAAAATAAAATAAAATAAAATAAAATCTATGACCTGCAGGGCCTCTCACCTGGTTTGATCCCATCTCTACCTTCACCAGTCACAAGTTTGTTCACACAGTTCCTTCCATTATATAAACACTCCAACCATGTTCCCACTTCAAGATCTTTACACTTGCTACTCCTTTCTAGGACGCTCTTTCCCCAAATAGTTGCATGACTTGCATCCTTACATCCTTCAGGTCACTGCTCAAATATCACCTTATCAGAAAGGATTTGCTGTTTCACCATTTGTAAATACAAACTTCTACCTGCCCATTAACCACCCCCATCCACAGCATTTCCAATACTCCTTGTCCTGCTTTATTTTTCTCCATTGTCCAGACTACCACCTGATATGTATTTATTTTTTTATTTTTTTATTGCCTGTCTCTCTTACTAGACATTAAGCTTCAATGTTTATATCACATGCCTAAATTCTACAGAATGCAAGCATATGGAGGATACTCAATAAACATTATTGAAAAAAATAAGTGAATGAGTAATAGTAATAGGAGACATTTCTAAGGTGAGTCTTCACAGCAAGGAAGGGAAGCTTCATATAAAGGCAAGGAACTGGCTACAGAAGCACAGACCCTGCAGGTTCCATAAGCCCAGCAGAATCCCAGAATTATTTGGGAGGAGGGCTGTAATAGCAAAAGAGCAGGTAAAGACCATAAAAGGTCATAGAAAATCTGTTCTGTAGCAGTCATGGCCTGATGAAAAAAAAAATTAACTGATAAGACAAAATAACAACTTTACCACAGAAAAACTTGGAAGACACCGTCTCAACTAACTGATCAAAGTAACATCACCAATAACTAGAAAAATAAACATTCCATGCTTAGTAATACAATACAATGAGGACAGAACTCCCATGGCATTCTTGCCAAAAGTATGTCACCTGAATCTAACCATAAGAAAAGATAAGAAAAAACTAGTATTAAGGACATTCTATAAAAGAACTGGCCTGTATTCTTCAAAAATGCCAATGGCAGGAAACACAAGGATTCAAGAAATGTTCTAGATTAAAGGTGACCAAGCAGACATAATGATTGAATGCAAAGCATAACCCCGGATTTATTTTGCTAGATCTGACATTATTGGGCTGACTGGAAAAATATGAATACCATTAGTAAATTACATGGTAGAATTCAATCAATTCTGAGTTTCTAACTTTGATAATTATATGGTTATAATAATACGGTAGGAAAATGCTCTTGTTGGGGCACCTGGGTGGCTCAGTCGGTTAAGTGTCCAACTTAGGCTCAGATCATGATCTCGCGGTTCGTGGGTTCGAGCCCCACGTCGGGTTCTGTGCTGGCAGCTCAGAGCCTGGAGCCCATTTCAAATTCTGTGTCTTCCTCTCTCTCTCTGCCCCTCCCCCGCTCATGCTCTGTCTCTCTCTGTCTCAAATAAAAACTATAAAAATTTTTTTAAAAAAAGAAAATGCTCTTGTTGAATATACACTGAGGTATTTAGGGGTAGAAGGGGACATTATGCCTACAGTTCATCCTCAAAGAGTTCACAACAAAATTGCTATATGAGAGAAAGTAAAACAGCAAAATATTACCATTTGGGAAATCTGAGCGAAGAATATATGGGAATTCTTTGTACCACTCTTATAACTTTCCTGTAAGTCAGAAGTTATGTCAAAATTTAAAAAATTAAGTGAAAAAAGAAAAAATACATAACGAAAAAGGTTCAAAAATATAATGGGCAAAAACATTTTCAATATATTATAGTCACTCCTATCCTAGATCTTAAAAAACAATCTCTAGGGGTACCTGGGGGGCTCAGTTGGTTAAGCCTCTGACTCTCGATCTCAGCTCAGGTCATGATCTCACAGTTCTTGAGACTGAGCCCTACAATGGGCTCTGTGCTAACAGTGGGGAGCCTGCTTGGCTGTTTGGGGTTCTCTTTCTGCCGCTCTCTGCCCCTCACCTGCCTGCTCTCGCCTTCTGTCTCTCAAAATAAATAAACTTTTAAAAAAAATAATCTCTATAAATACTCCTTTAAAATTAAAAATTCTAACGAGGAAAGAGGAAACTATGTATCACTAGACTTAGAATGTAACTTTTTAAATAATATTCTCCCAGACTAATTTACTAGACTTTTTTCTGTATTTAAATAGACTTTTTCCTGTATCTAAATTTCATTTAAAAACTAGAAATAAATGCCATGAAGGAAAATATTGTTAACACTGAACTTCAAAGAAATGTTATGATTTCCACATAATATTTCTATTTCAATTATTTAAAAACACATTTTTAAATTAACATAATCTAAAAAATAACACCCTCATACATTGAGGATTCAGGATGTCGCTTCAATTGAAACACCATGAAATACTGTAGAAGAAACTTACAATAGTACATTTCAAAAGACCTGATTTTACTTTCATTTAAATGCAGTGTCAATTAGCTGTTTCAAAAAGGAGACAAAACAAAACAAAATTACCTTCATGGACCGTAATGCCACAATTGTCACACTGAATTATTTCATCAGCATCCTCGCTATTATCTCCAAGACAAACACAGCAAATCAGAATGTGATCCATTTTTTGAGAACTCCAGTTTTGACTCTTCTCAAGAATCAGCGAGTCCTAATATTAAAATATATCAGAAAATCACATTTAAATTAAAAGATAATTTCAATAAATAAAATTCCCACTTAAAAGTTATTTTATGCGTGTCTAAAATTATGTTGCATTCTCCATTCCTTTACTAATTTCAAAACATATTATATTTGAAAGTCCATCTCTTTGTCAAATGACACTCAAAGCACCCTCTAATTTTCATTTTCTCTACAAGTCCTATATTCTCCCTCCTTTAAAAAAAATGAAAAGGCAAGCATGCAACTCTTCATCTACTTTGCTATTCTATAGTCTGACCCCTTGAACTAGGAGAAAAGAAAAATTAACTCACAAGTAATTATTAACCCTACAATGGGTTTAAAAAGTATAAGACAGGGTTCCTATACTTTGGAAGCTTACATTCCTACCTTAAGAGAGACAAGACACACGTATGTTAAACAGGAAAAAAATCAATTCAAGATAACATATAAGCAAATATGATGTATGTAATGGCATAGTTACAGACTCTACACTCCTTAACTGCTGAGGAATTCAGAAGTTCCAGGGTCATCAAACTACTGGATGACAGATCCAAGAGAGCCTACATAGGCATACCTGCTGTATATACAGGGACAGAAAACTTACTAAAAACGATCCAGGTTGTCCAGTTGCTAGAGAGTGAGAGTACTCTATTAGGTTCATGTCAAGAAATATCTAGTGTAGGTGTCTGGGTGGCTCAGTGGGTTGAGCGTCCAACTTAGACTCAGGTCATAATCCCCCGGTTCATGGGTTCGAGCCCTGCATCGGGCTTTGTGCTGACAGGTAGCTCAGAGCCCAGAGCCTGTTTCAAAGTATGTGTCTCCCTCTCTCTCTGACTCTCCCCTGCTCACACTGTCTCTGTCTCTCTCTCTCAGAAATAAATAAAAAACATTTTAAAAATAAAAAAAAGATCTAGTGTAAACTAATAAAAATATGGAGCTAATTATAATATAAAAGGAGGAAGACACAATAAATATAAAGATAAAATTCAAGAAGGAAAAGAATTTACCTGTTTAATTTAAACTGCATTTAGATTTAAACTTTAAATGGTTAACAAGACAATGATTCTCATCAGATTATCAGACTGGACACTGTCTAAGACAGCACTTGAGTCTATGTATTTTAAGAACCTAACCATGCTTTTTTATAGTCTTTTAAACAAACCAATAACCACAGATAACATTTAGAGTTATCATTTCACAGCAATTGCAAATGATATTTGTATGATACTTGAATGTCATAATCAATAACATTCTTTTCAATTCTGTCTTATACATCTAAACTTGCAGCTGATCTGTAAGACAATTCAGACAAGAAGGAAAAGTCAACAAGGAGGCAGCGTTATTTCTCTTGAGAACCCCAGTACTTTAAAATTGGGGACGCCTGGGTGGCTCAGTCGATTGAGCATCCAACCCTTGGTTTCAGTTCAGGTCATGATCTCATGGTTTCATGAATTCAAAGCCCACATCAGGCTCTGTGCTGCTTGGGATTCTCTATCTCCTCTCTCGTTGCCCCTCCCCCACTAAAGCGCTCTCGCGCGCTCTCGCTCTCTCTCTTAAAATAAATAAATACACTTTAAAAAACTGTATATTTTGTTCCTCTTTGTTATAAAGCCAAAGTAGTTTGTAGGAAAAAAGCCATGTTTTATAGTAGTTTGGTACACTAAGCAAAACAAAAATCTACCCAGATTTTCACCCCATTAGCCATGCTTCCAGTGTAATAGCACTTGACTTAAAGTCTAATGTTCTCGGCTTTCATTCTCAGTTCTTACTAAGTAACTGTTGAACCTCGAAGCTGCAGTTTTCTCATCTGTAAAGTGGGATAACAAAAATAATACCTACCTGATGAAATTGTTGTGAAAATTAGCAAGATAATTGTATGGTAAGAATGTTCCCAAGATATGCGAGGTACTCAGTAAGTGTTCATTCTCATTGTCCTTTCCTACTTCTTACAGGTGGTTCAAGAAGAGGAATATGAGCTAACCATTTAGTATACTGAGTACTCTTCCTTGGAATCCCCCAAAATGTTGTAAGCCTCAATGAGCAGTGCTACTTTAAATATCTTCCCATGGTGTCCAAAAAAGACTTTTTTCCCAAAATACCACATTCGGTTAAAAAAGAATCACAGACTAGAAAAAGATCTAGACAATAACCAGAAACCGGAGTTTTATGATTGACAGGCTATTTGTGTTTATGGTGCTGCCAATACTTTTCTGGAAGAACTACAACTAATGAGCCCCTGAAAATAGGTTTACCTATATGGGAAACAAGTAAATTAGCATTAATAGGTAACTCTTATTCCATTATTTTGCTATTTTTCCATTTTTATCAGAAAAAAAACAGTCAATGTTTCAATTGTATATCTATATCAAATTCTCTATACACATATTATCATTTAGAGGCAGAGAAAACAAAATGAATTGGTATTTCTGGCTCCCTGATCCCCATCATTTGAGACTCTTACCAGAAATGCACCGTAAAGAGAGAGGAATGAGGGGGAACTGGAGTCCTACCAAATGAATGACAGGTAACACTTCAGCGGGAAATCTAAGTTAACACATTCTCTTCAAAAACTATACTCTATGCTTTCTTTAATACACCAAACATGGGTTGAACACACTTGTGATTAGAATATAAAAGCAAATTTCATATCAATTTTTATTAGCATACCTCTGAAGATATGTATAATAGTTAATTATAGATAAAATAGTTAATTAAGTTCAAGTTTTTACCAAAAAATATATCTTGTGAAAACATGACTTTTATATAAACACAGAAATTGGGAAAGTTGGTTTTGAAAGGCACAAGAGTATCACCTAGGATATAACTTTAATATTACAGAATAATTTAGTGAAATCTAATGGTAATTAAGAATAAATGGGGCACTGCAGTAATATATCAATGACTACTTAGAGTAAATTATTTCATTTACCCTTGGGATTTAAAATTTACACCTAAAATAGTAATACTGTCCAATGTTCTCCATGGGTTCTAAAATATGTTTAGTGTTCATTTATATATGTATTCCACACAGATGCTTATGAATAATGTATACAACAGGGTAAATTCTATCTAAATTTAAAGTGTTTAAGAGAAGGGAATTCCAGCACACTTCACGTGACACTAGAATTAAAAGAATCCTATTTCTCTGAAGATGAGAAAAAAATCAGTATACCAAAGAATTTGAGCAATAGTCGTCCTCTAAATTTTTTTAAGAAAGTTAAATCCTCAAGAATCTCAAATAATTTCTGTACAATATTACAAACTCTCTTTTTAGGTTTTAAAGCAGTTTGCTTTATTTTGAAATGTGTAAAAAGGCATTTAATAAGTCAGAAGCCCCAACAGAAGGAGCTCTTTATAAATTTTGGCAAAATTTTTAATTACCAAAGTCAGATGACAACTGCCATTTCTTCACAACTATGTAACATCTAATTCTAATCCATTTAACATGAGAATATTTTATAAAAAGAAACCAAAAAGTTCCACCTGAAAATTTCTATTTATATGATTTTCTGTCAAATATTACTTCTCAACCAAAGCTCTAGTTTCAAAGTCCTAAAAATGGGACCGATTCTCTGAAAATGCTACACACCCATCCCCAAGACTTACTTCAGAAAACCAAAAAGATAATATGAATTAATTTCAAAAGCATCAAGATAAAAGTTTGAAGACATATAACCATATTCCAAGAGGATTATTTAGACCACACTAAATTCAAAAATGTCAAAATGCTACAGTCCAAGGCAAGTGTCCATACGTAAAAAATGCAGGTTTATCAAATGCCCACTTGAAGAACAGTAGTTCTCAAGGTGTGGTCTGCAGGACTCTATCTGATTGGGTCCATAAGGTTAAGGCTATTTTCATAATAATACTAAAGTTATTTGTCTTTGTCACTTTCTTACTTTGGTATACAATATAATTAATATTCCAGAACCATATAACATGAGATAGGGTCATCAATCTGACAACTTGTGTGCTTCTGTGTCTTATTTTTTGAAATTGCTGAGTTTTAATTTGAAATGGCAAAAGATATAATCTACAAAAGTAGTAACTGGGATCCTCAATGATTTTTTAAGAGTGTAAAGGGGTCCTGAGACCAAAAAAAGTTTGAAAACCCCTGCTCCAGAGTATTTCAAGGCCTATGGTATAGGCATGTTAAGGCTTTTAGAGTTACTAGTAAGGGGCGTGGGGGGTGGCTTGGTCGGTTAAACACCCGGGTCTTTGGTTTTGACTCAGGATGTGATCTCACGTTTCATGAGATAGAGCCCTATGTCAGGCTCTGCGCCGAAGTGCAGAGCCTGCTTAGACTTCTCGTTCTCCTCTCTCTGCCCCTTCCTGCTTGTACTCTCTCTCAAAATACATGAAGAAACATTAAAGAAAAAAAAGACAGTAGTTATAAAAGGTCCCCAGCTCAAATAAACGTCCCTGGCTCAAAAATAAATAAATAAATAAATAAAAAATAAAATTCCCCCCCAAAACTTCAAAACCATTCAAGTTTCTGGGCATCATTTACATGATGTCCAGCATCAGTTCCCTACAAAAGCACTTGACCTAACAGCCAAAGGAGTTTGCTGCTTATAAACTACATATATCTCTACTGCAAAGTGGTATTTGAACACTTAAAGTAAAAGACAAAAATTAAACTTTGAATATAATCAAATATATATGTATTAACTAATAGATACTTGCCAGGTATCACTACCGAAAATAACCCAGAAGACTTAAGATACAAACAATGGCCATAAGGCAATAAGAATTACCTTTAGTCATTTTTACAAAATCTGAGCATATGACCAGGAAATTTAGAAATATACAATAAAATAATAATCTCAATTGATTAGTTTTTATCAAAAATTTTTATCTAATTTGAGTGACATTTAAGTAGAAATAGAATTATCAAAAATTACTGAAGAGTCTTGGGGAAAAATAGTCACCAAGCTTTCAGATGGAATACTATTAAGGGAAAACTAACTTTCTATCAGTTCTTCTACATCTCTACACAGGGTAGAGCAAAAGGAAAACTAATATAAATTAACACAAAAGAAATTAATTTAGCTACTGTAAGAGATTTCTTGACAATATTATCGAGGCACATTTTGAAGAAATACTCTGGAATCTCATTTTTTGGGACTTAGCCCAAACATACAAAGTCCCATTATTTAAAGTCTCTTCTGGTAGGGGGAAAAAAAAATTAAAACAGCACATGCGGCCTTCCAATGCATCATAAAGGACAGTCTACAACCTCTTAAGCAATATGTAATGTATTACAGATTATTAACAAGTGGATAATGTATACATTTTATGTGGCAAATTTCTAAACATATGCAAGTATTCTCCACACCTTAACATAAATCTAACTCTGCCTCTATCGAGAGGTAGCCTACTTTTATGAACATCAGACTAATAAAAATAAAGAAAGTGACATTGCCAAAGGTAAACTTATTAAGCTGATATAGACTGAGACTAAATGCTATAAAGTAAACTGGATACAAGCCTAAATCAAATATGAACAAGTGAATTTTCCATATTTCTATTTCCCTAAATTGGCACTGGGAATATGGGACTGTTTGTGCTATAGCATTATAAATATCATATTCCAAATGACACTTTTCCATTATCTAAATATAAGAATTAGAATAGCACTGGAGGCAGGCAACATTCTTCACATGAAAGTGGACAACCTAAAAGTTGGCCAATGTTTATAATTTAAAATATAAACTGCTATTTCATCACTACTGACATATAACTCCCTCAGAGCCTGTTACTTATTTCAGTGAGAAAAATCACCAAGTTTTTAAATGAAACTTACTTAAAATAGGTCATCACTGCTAGGTAAAACTTTTAAGTAGAAGAAACGTAAAAGAATAAATATAGAAGGAAATTCTCCCTACTAGTTTACCCTATTTCAGTGATATGAAAAAAAACAAAAACAAAAACAAAAAAAAACACAAAAAATAAGTGCTTGCTAAAGAAGTGAATTTTCGTGACAATAAACACATTAACAGAAATGACAGACTTAATTATTATAGTTCTACATGTTGATGTAACAGGTACATCTACATGTAAGACAACAACTCAATCTTTCTTTTGAAGAAAAACATACATAAACACACAGACAAAGAGACACAGATGTGTTTGACTGAAGAGTCTTGAATGTTGCATCTTGGGCCCAATGGATAAACCTAACTTTCGGTAGTAGAACTTCAAGTGGAAGAAGTGAGTCATTACTGTAGTTTTATGACAGAAATGTTTGTTTTATGATAGGAATGTTTGATGTTTCTTTTTCATTTCTTTGTAGAGAGAACTTATTCACTAAATATATGTAAACATATACTCCCATACATCTAAAGCAAAGACTTGGTGACTATTCAGATGATGAGTGCTACAACTGGTAAAGGAAGCAACCTTAAAATGAGTCTCTAAAAGTCTGAGGCAATCATTAAGCTGTTTGTTGTCCTGCTCTAACGTAGTCTAGAAGTCTAAGTTTTCATGTGGATACAGGATATAACTAGGTTGAAATAAAGGTGACCTTTGTTTTCATAATCCACTGAGCACCGTTCAGCAGTCCTATGAAAAATAGGGTAAGAGAATAGAGAGGGGGAAAGGAAGACTAACATTTCCCTCGTCTATGGGTATAAAAATATTTCTTTAACTATAGAGACTGCAAGCTCCTTGAGGACGGTGATTGTGAGCTCCTTGGGGACGGTGACAAATAGTGGATACTCAATAAAGGCTGGTTGACCAAATGAATAAATGTTATAGTTAAGGTGCTCATTGACTCCCACAGCTGTCTATGAATAGGGTTTCAAGGAAGCTACTTAATGTAACGAGTAGAATGGTTTAGAGAAGAATTCCCTTTTCCCCAGACAGACAGAGATCATAAAAATTGGGTTGATCTACCTCATTACTCTTGCTCTGAGATAGTGTCAGGCTATCATTGGTCAGTTCCTCATCATCAGCACTGTTTCTGCTAAGAACTTTACTCTTCTTCTTCTTGCAACCCCCTTCACTGGCAGGGCTGCTGTGATCTTCATCATTGCCTTCATCATTCTCATCCTCATCACTCCCACTTCCCTCATCTTCATCATCCTCATTGTCTCCATCACTGCCTTCTTTCTGAGAGGCAGATCTTCCCTTTCTCTTTACTACAGTTGGTCGCCAATCATTGTCATCTTCACTGTCGTAGTCATCCATATCATTTAGCTCTTCCATGGATACAAAATCCAAAAGTGGTCGATTTCGACGAAGGTTCCACTTTTTTGGCTCACTGACTTGCTCCTCTGTAGCGGTTGTTGTAGTGGGAACTGATGGAGATGTGTTAACAGCAGGAGGACTTGTGGCTGGTGTGGTGGAAGCAGCAGAAGCAGCCACATTATCAGATACTGTTGCTTTTTCTTTATCCTCTCTCTCCTTCTCTTTTTCTTTCTCCTTCTCTTTTTCCTTGTCTTTCTCTTTCTCCTTTTTCTTTCTAGGTCTTTCTCCATTCTCTTCTTCCTCCTTCTTTTCCATCTTAATTAACTGCTTTTCTGATGACAGTATTTCTTCCTCTGCAGAATTTTTAAGTTGTTCTTCTTTCACTTTAATACCTTCATTCAGTTCTTCTTCTAAAATATTTTCTTCAGAATCACTACAGGAACCTTCTCCACTGTCCTTTGAAGGATCTTCACTTCCATTACCACTCCCTTCAGAATCTGTTGAAAATATGAGAAAAAAAAACCACACATATGTATATACATACACACACACACACACAACGCTGACACAAATGAAACCACCAAAATTTGTGAGTAACTTGCAAAACAATATAAACAAATTTAAGTCAAAGAATGGTAGACGCTCCCAACCTGATTAAATAAATCAATGAAGTTGGTATAATGGTTTTAATTCAATATAGCACTAATGAAGATGAATATATGTAACTCTAAATTAAAACATGCTTTAAAAAGAGGAGCACTATTTTGTGTCATATAGCTCATGCTATATTTGGTACCCTAAAAGCAATTTTTTTCTAAAAGTAAAGGTATTTCTTTTTAAATTGGGCACTTGAGTTTTAACTTAATGATACAATACAGATCAAATTTTTCTTCTCCTCCATCTTCCTTTCATAAACTATATGAACGTACTAGTGTTGAGTCACATTCAGAACAAGGAAAATCTGGCCCAAAATACTTGGTTTCATTTATTTCACTCTTTACCCAGCAAAAATTAGCACAGGTATTTATGATAGTCAACATCCCTAACATACCAATCAATTATAGGAGTACCAAGTTCACAGGTGAAAAGGATAAAAGCAACAGCACAGTTAATAGAAATTGCAAGAGCTGTTATCAATTTTCCTGCTTAATAAGATACCTTTCCAATCAGTAAGAGCCACCTAAACTTTCAAAAATTCTAGGCAGTAACTACAATAGCCCCCAGAATGAAAGAAATTAACAAGTTTTTTAAAAATGAATCTATCTTGGAAATGAGCAAGCACAGCAGTCATTAAAATACAGACTGAGGATATTAAAGAATGCATGCATGACTACAAGCTTCCTGCCAAGTTTCTTCCACTCCTACTGAGGCCAGGCCAGACTGTCTTAGACCAAGACTACTCAGAACCTCCTAATCCTCTTTATATCTAATCAAAGTAATAAAAATCCAAAATAAAGTAAAAGAGAAAAAAGGAAAGGAACAGGAAGAAGAAACAACCAGTCATAATGAAGTCGTGGTCAACACGATTAGTAAAATCTGTAGAGTGATAAATTTTTTGAACATATAACCAAGGAGGGGTTATTAATAAAATGGTGAAAAAGTCTATGTTTGCACATCATTTTAATTTCTGTTAATAAGCCATATACTTAACTGGCCATTAAAAGAAAGTTCTAATTAGAATCTGGTATCTAAAATATCCTAGAAATACTTTACAAATGACTGATTAAAAAAAAAATCCTGCAAGGTAAATCACATAAAAAATAAAGACTAACATACAATAGATATTGACCCACCCTACAAAATAATTGTCAATCTCAAGATTACCATGCAGGAACCTCAAGGCTTATTCAAAACTGTTGTGGGGGGGGGAAAAAAAAAAACGCTCTAACCAAATTTACCTAAGACACAATGGCAGTATCATGTAGGTCAACAATCCCTTATTTGAAACTTTTGGAGCCAGATGTCTTTCAGAATTTTGATTGTTTTCAGATTTTAGAAGGGTAGCATGGTGTATACACAATATATTACACTAAAATCTCCAGTGAGGTGTGTGGTACTATCCTATAATAAAACACATTTCTGCTTTGAAAAGTATAAATATTTACAAGTATGATAAGGCAACACTACAAATAAACTATCAGTTCCAGTTAAGTTTTACCATCAAACAAGTGAGGCAAACAAGCGTGTACCAAACATCTTTGGATTTCAAAAAAGAGTCTGAATCCAATTATCATCCATAACTAGGTAACATGTTTTCAGTCCAACAGTTCTGCAAATCATTAAGAAAACTGTGATTTTTCTTTAACACCACTCATAATTAAACCCAACCTACCAAGAAGACTACTTATGGTAAAAATAATAATAATGTCTAGATATTTTTAAATAAGAATCTAATAAATAATAAGCAAAATTGACTAAACACTTCTAAGGCAAAAAAGAATCTTCATACATACTGACTACAGAAAATTGGAACATCTTGCAAGCAATGCCATATTTAAGAGAGACGGACACAATTAAGAGAGATACTTTTTAGAAGTACCTAAAAAGCATTCCTACTAATTTTTACCAATAAAAACAACAATAGACACAAAAGTAAGATTAACTGGGCCACAAATGCGGGTACCTAATCAAAACTAAGACCAATCCAACTTTGCTATTGCTTGGTAAATTTTACAAAATGTTAAGAGTTTTCATGATTCTGTTTTGGTTGTTGTTGCCAATGCCAACCAATTATTTTTAAATGTATAAGGAAACTGACACTCTTTTATTCTGCTTTTGTTTTGTAATCATGTCTGAAGAGAAAGCAATTTGAAAAAAGATTTAAATGCTTTACATCTGTTAACATATTATTAATGAATCTGAAATTTTTCCACAAATCCAAATCCTAGTAGCTTACCCAACCCTTCATTCTCCAAATACAATACATTATTCATACTCCACTGCAGGCATCAGGAATATATCAAATTTTATCTTTCTTTGAATCCTGAAAAATAATTTCTTCACATCTGATTAGTCATCACTTCTTTTTGGTATATATGCACTTGAGGGATGGAGATAAACAATATTTAGTTACAAACACAGCTTGACAAAAATAACAATGAGAAAAATCAGAGTCTATGGCTGTCTATAATTATATTTTTATAGGCTGCAAAGAAAATTCTACAAATACTACAAATTCAAACAATGACTCTGTCAAGTTCCAAATCCATCACTCTTACATCTTTTTTTAAAGAAACAGTAAAAATAGACTAGAGAAGCGGTCAGATACATCAAATAAGTCAGATACTTCTTAGCATTAGAAGTAATTCTAACTCTTCAATAAACTTATTTTTCTTTAGAAAAAAAAACTCTTTAAAATTGAAATCCCTCCTTCCTATTCAGTTAAATAAAAGGTAACTTTTCTCAAATATACAATATAGCAAAATCTCTCCAAACAATAGCGATTTCAACCATTAAGGAATTTTTTACACAGAATTAAAAAAAAAAAAAAACCTTCCATAATAAAAATTAAACAGTAAAATCAATATGATTTTATTCAGTTTTATTTCAGCTTTGCAATGTAAACAATGATCTTTGTTCATCAACCTTAATTAACTATTCTCTTCATTGATCTAGTGCAATAGTGATTAGCATTCATAAATATACACAACACAGAATAGATCACCAGTCTACAGGTTATTTAGTTATTTCCTTGGGACCATTTTTGACTAATCCTGTACACCTTTCTTAAAAAGCAGGTCAACGAACACAACCCCTCCTCTATTCATTATCTGTGTCATTTAACATTTTCTGGGTAAATTCAGACCGGTGGTTCTTAAGTAAGAACAGTTTTGAATTCTGTATCTCAGAGAACATTTGGCAATGTCTAAAGTCAATGGATGAATAGTCTCCATGACAGAGAGGAGTGCTGATAGGGGTGGAAGGAAGAAGAGATACTACAGGCATTTAGTAAGTAGACAGATGCTGCTAAACATCCTACAAAAAACAGAACAAGCCTCTATTACAAAGAGTTACATAACACAACATACTAATAGTGCCAAGACTGAGAAACCCTATTCTAGCAATATAAGACTTCAATCTAACCTCATTATACTTTCCCAGGCACATCTATTTATTCTTTTACTCAATCCTGATCCCCAAATATAAACGACATTTTTCAGCCTCCACACTTCTAATACTTAATGTTTCCCTCACCTAGACTGCTTCTCTTTCAGTTTCTAATTCAACTCATCTCCTCAATGAATTATTCTAGATAAAGTAGTCCTATCTCCTTGATTTGAACTACACAAGTCATCAATCATGCCTTGCATTGTTATTTTACAATTGAATTATTTTAATATTATTACATTTCTTTGTGAAATCACCATAATATCCAGCAAAGTGCTTTTAAAGAAAACTAAGGATCATCAATAAATGTATCTTGACCAATTAGCCAAAATTAGATTAAGTGCAAAATACTACCAAAGCAAAGTCTCAGCCTGACTCTTCCAGTTAAATTATTTTCTGGCAATTTGTCCTAACTAAACTAAGGCTCAAGATCTAAAGTTGGCTAGCACGTTAGTGAAGACACCGCACTATTATTTTTTTTATTTAACAAAAGTCACACAAGCACTCATCTTCAAAAACATTCTATTTATACATCAGATTACTTAATGTAATCTATCCTAACCCCAATCTTAGGATCAAGTCTCAAATATAATCACTCTAACTAGGTCAAATGATAACATTGCCAATAATCTAAAATTGGTAATTTCGTGTGGTTCAATTTAACATTCCCACATACTGTTCTTCTAGTGGTTATCACCATAATTCTAATATGTTTTAAAACTTACTAACTTTACAATTTATTTACTGACTGCCCTCAATCAAAAATGAGAAATTTAGGGGCGCCTGGGTGGCTTAGTCGGTTAAGCATCCGACTTTCGCTTAGGTCATGATCTCGCGGTTCGTGGGTTCGAGCCCTGCGTCGGGCTCTGTGCTGACTGCCAGCTCAGAGCCTGGAGCCTGTTTCAGTCTGTGACTCCCTCTCTCTCTGACCCTCCCCTGCTCATGCTGTCTCTCTCTCTCTCTCTCTCTCCTAGAAATAAAACAAACAAACAAACAAACAAACAAAAAAATCAGTTTATTTAGACGGCAAAGTGAGGGACTTAAAAGGAGAATTCTTTTTCTCTTCTTTCCTTTAAAACAGCCATCTGTCATGTGTTCTAGTTCGAGAGGAGATTCCCAATTGCCCTTATCTTTTTCTTNCGCTGTCTCTCTCTCTCTCTCTCTCCTAGAAATAAATAAAACATTAAAAAAAAAAAGAGGCCAACCAATCTAATCATCTTAATATTAGGTTCTAAGGGAGTCAGTATTTCATTCAACAAGTCAATTCTAGATGTTATTTTTAAAAGCTTTTATTAAATAGATGCTAAGCTATTTCTCCACCTCCGATTTCATAGTTTCATCTACTCATACAGAGGATTGGGATTCCACAACTCTATCATGACTGAAAACCAGTGATGAATCTAATGTCTTATTTCTTCTGAGTACAACTATCTCAGGCAAAGAAAGGATTCAAACAGGAAACTTTAGTAAGCTAGATTAAGTCACCATCTCAGCTATGGGGGAATATGGATGCACCTTAATCAAGAATGGTAATTTGCACTATTAACTATTTTAAACAAAATCATTTTCTACTATAATCTCCTTTATAATAACATAATAGAACTGCACAGGGGCCAAAGAAGTAAATTACAAACAGAGCAGACTAGGTATGATGACAAGAAGGAACAGAAAATATATACATATTTAGTGTTTTTAAGAGATTTTTTAAAAATTATCAGCCTAACAACTCATCCTCCCACTTTTCACACATAAGTGATAATTGTCATCAACTCTGATTAAGATTTACAAGATCAGGAATCTATACTTAGCTTGATACCAAAAATTACTTTTAAAAAGTAGTTTTTATCATTAGATTGTCTTAACCTTTGTAAAGAGAAGTGATACAACTCAATAAATGAAAAGGAAAAAATCTACAAAGTCAGGATTTATTGTCATAGAAACAATTATGGAACACTAAAGATCTAGCTTTAGAGTTTTTTCATAAAAGTATTCAATTAAGTCATAACTTCTGAGACCCAACAACTGTTGTTACAGTTAACAACCTTGACCAAAACTACATCTCAATAAATAAAAAGGAAAAAATCTACAAAGTCAGGATTGTCATAGAAACAATTATGGAATACTAAAGATCTAGCTTTAGATTTTTTTCATAAAAGTATTCAATTAAGTCATAACTTCTGAGACCCAACAACTGTTGTCACAGTTAACAACCTTGATCAAAACTACATTCTCAACAAAAATATTCTTATCTGCCAAAGTCCTCACCAAGTGAACTTAAATACTTTAGGATTTTACCTCCCTTCCCTTCCCTTTTTTGCCCTTCTTTGGAAGGACCAAATATCAGTGAATTGACTAAATGAGAGAGAAAGCTGAGAAGCAAAGATTAAAAGACAAGATAAACTTAACTTCTCTGATTGTTGGGAGCGACCTCAATTAGTCATAACATACAAGTAGTTTCAGTTTAAGATCACATCTACTTACTTTTAGGATCTAAGCAGTGAAAAGATTATTAAATTTTAGAGTCAAAATACATCCATTATGGACTAAGTGACCTAATGCAAGTTCTTTGAATTCAGTCCTCTGTTACTATAAAATAGTATCTCCTTGATTAAGTGATTATAAAAGTTAAATGAGATTATGGAAATAAAAAGTTCTCAGTAAATCACAGTGCAAATTCTAATTACTGATGCTACTGAAAGTAGTAACAGAAACACAACACAACCTAATTTCATCTCCTACCATCCCTAGCAGGAGAAAAAAAATAAAAACCAGAGGAAAAGAGATAGGACTAAGCATAGAAAGCTCTCTGGAGGAATATATTTACATGATTAAAGGGATGAAATTGAAAAGGCTTCAATTCCTCATTTTATTTAAATCTCCACCAAAAGGGACAGATTTACAAATAATTTTTATTGTTCATGTGTGTATTAATATTTTTCACATAAAATATTTAAAAACAATTAGTACGCATTTCTCAGATTCCTGCCATTAAAACTATATACATGAAATACAATAAACAGAGGATATCATGGAAAACCATATTTTTCTATGGTTCCCATTCTTGTACAATGTGAATATATGACCTTTTTAAAAAGTTCACTGTTTTCAGAATCACAACATATAATGAGCAAACAAGTATCTTTATACTTCAGAGATTTCTTTGAAAGGCCTAATCCACAGAGTCCAACACCTATTACTAAGTACAACTTTTTACTTTGGCTAATTTTATTCTGGAAGGGGAGCTAACAGACAAAAAGCAAAACTCGCCTCAGAGGGTACCAAGTGATTTGAAAAGAACTCTGCCCATGGGCTGTATATGGCTCATGTTACTCTCAGGGTATTTACTGACTTCATGATATATCTCGATTTTTTTCCCCTCTACTCATAAAATAACCATAAATGTATATTTTTGAGGAAAGAATAGAGAAAAATCTTTGGTATCAATAGAGTAAATTCTTCTCTGCCTAATTATCTGAGTATCAACATAAACAAAAGCAACGGTAGGATCTAGCAAAAGAACCTTAGGGAAATGTGGGAAATCATATTGACAAAATAAATGACCTTTATGTGCTTTAACTTTAAATCGGCACTTAAATCAAAACCGATTTTTAAAAGGGTCTGAAAATAAGCCCAATTCCAGAAAGCTGGGAAAAGGGAAGAGAGAAGGAAGCATTTACCTGAAGCATCTCCAACTTTAAAATCACTGTCATCTGAACTATCATAATCGAGAGCTTCTAGCAGAGAAGCTGCCAAAGGCTTCACCTGCCTCCTCTTGGAGCTGCGATCCACTGTTAAGAGAAAAGCATTACATCGTCATTAATAATCACACCAAGGACAGAAGACAGCTGTGATGCTGAGGGAAGACGCTGATGACCTCGTGCAGGGAATCTCTGTTTAATTTAGTTCTCAGCAAATGGTGTAGGAAGCTTGCGGTGGGTACACCGGGAGGGGAGGGCTGGGCAGCAACACCGACAGCTCCAGCCTGGCAAAGGCGAGCCCAGGCCGGCCAAAATCAGAACTGACCCTCTTGCACACTGTTATGTTTCTGCCACTTGTTCGTAATCCCTCTTAGACACGGTAACAGTCAATACAAAGAAAACGCAAAGCCCAGGGAATAAAAGAAGCCCTGTTCATTCCCGTGTACGTGGAAGGTCTAAAAAAGGTCCAATTTCCCGCAGGAACCTGCCACCCCACCCTGCTCCCACAGGCCCTGACTTCTAGAAGGGCTGAAATGCACCTTTCTCCCGGCGGAGGCCTCCGACACACTTACTAAGGAATCCGAGAGGTGGTCGTTTGGAGGAGACCTAAGGAGAGGCTGTGAGAGCCCAAGCAGCGCCGAGGTCGGGACAGATACCGCGGAAACAAATCCGAAAGATGCTACTTAAAACCGGCGGCGCGGACCGGAGCCGGGTGCCTCTAGAGCGGCCCCAAGGTCCCCTCCCGCCCCCCACCCCGCCCCCTAGTCCTCGTCGAAGCGGCCCCTGCCTCTCGCGCCCCTTCCCACGGCGCTCCCCTGTCAGAGGCGCCCCCAGGCCCCAGCAGCCCTGGGCAGTAAATTTCCTCCGTTAAAACTGTTAGGAAAAAAAATAATAAAAGAAAGAAAAACTTTATTAGCCTGCCCCAGAAGCAACAAAAGACCCAGAATTTGCAAAGTCTGAGGCCGTTTGCCCGAGACAATAGAGAAAGCAACGACCCGGATACAGCTCTGGAGAGAAGGAAGTGAAAATACACAGCAAAGCGCGGCCCTAAAAGCAGCAAGAGGCGTGAACGCATGCGCTGAACTTGCCGCCGCTCTCTCGGCATCGCGCTCTCTCTCCCCCAGGGAGGAGGAGCCGAACAGAGCCGAGCGAGAACCGAGAGGAAACCGAGAGGAGCCGAGTAGTGACGAGAGGGAGCCGAGAGCCCTCGCAGACCCTGCGCCGCTCTTCCCACAAATCCCTGAGGTTTCACCCCCAGCTCAAATCCGTGGGAGGCAAGTTTTGTTTCTAGCTTTCGTTTAAGGAGTTACCCAATGTACACTTGACATAAAAAGAGAAGTTGCTAACTTAGGTGACTACTAAAAACATGCAAATAGTATCGAGAACCACACTCTACCTGCTGCTTCTGTAAATTGCATCGCTTTAAATATCTTGAAACTTGCGAAGTTTTTATTTCCTGAAAGAGGGAAGTGTGAAAATTGCATTAGACCTTGATTGCTGGGGCTTTGAAAAGCACCAATGTAACAGGGAAGAAAAGTATGAATTAATTATAATAATATTACAACGAGTGTACTGTGGACACTTATTTTCACACAAATATAACAGTTTTAATTTTACTAAGAGAGAATTCGTCTAGCGGGAAATATTCCATTTCACAAGTATATCATGTATTACCTCAGGATGTGTGTCCATATGAGTATGAAATAATGCCTTGCATCCACTTGGGAAATTTATTTTTTGAGAGGAATGTTTAAACCCATAAAAACATGTAAGTATGTACAACTGGATATGGTATTTCTCCAAAGGTTGCTTTTTTAAAAAAAATTTTTTTTAATGTTTTATTTATTTCTGAGAGAGAGAGAGAGGCAGCGTGAACAGGGGAGGGCCAGAGAGAGGGAGACACAGAATCCGAAGCAGGCTCCAGGCTCTGAGCTGTCAGCACAGAGCCCAATGTGGGGCTCGAACCCACAAACCATGAGATCATGACCTGAGCGAAAGTCGGATGTTTAACTGACTGAACCACCCAGGCGCCCCAATCTCCAACAGTTTCAAATGCCACATCACATACAAGTTAAATACTTTTTACATGATATTAAAATGTTAGAATCTGACTAGTATTAATATTTTTCAAAAGTTTATATATCAGGCAGAGAAAGATTTGGATGAAGTTGATTTGGTTCATTAGTTTATTCCACACATAAGCGTGTTGTGGCAGTGTTTGTAACATGGGGAAATAAATGTGTAGGAATCAAATCATGAGTTGTGGAACTTTTTAAAAAAAATGTGTTGAATTATTTTGTAAACCAGAATTGAATTTTATAATATTAAACTTGTAAAAGTAGCAAGTATTTACTATAATAAAGTGCAATTTATGGAGTGATTACATAGAGGCTGTACCTTCTGCAAGACAGTGGTCTCTTTCTTCCAGAACTTAAGAGATCACTGTGTATGGTGAGAAAGGCTGCCAGAGAAAAAGTACACATGCAAAAAGGAGAGAAAGCTCTCAGGAAAGGCTTCCTGATGTAAGTTATAGATCCAAACAGGCTGAACTGGGCTGGGAAAGGGAGAAAAGGAGATGGAGGTGTTCCAGACCAAGAAAAATTCATATGCAAGTCCTGAGGGCTAGGAAAGCATGGCTAGTTAGATTTCCCAAAAGCTGGACGACTTCTAATACCCCAGGACATTTCACCATAATAGTAGTTGTATAAATTACATTGCAACCTCATCTTTCTGTGTTCCTCATTGCTGCTAAAAGTGTAAACTACTCCAATCTTTAAGTATCTCTAGTTCCCTGACCCAAACCACTGCCATGTGCCCCCTCAAACGTCTCCACAGTGCTCTAGAAACTTAAATTTGTTAAAACCTACATAGTAAACCCTCTTCCTTTTTAATGATCATTTACCCACTTCCTTGTCTAAAATGGGAAATTACCCCATAGCCCTCTCAACTAGAGGCCACTCAGCCCTTCCACACCTCATTTTCTCAAGATCCAGAGGTTGCATCATATCCTTCATATTCCTCACTGGGCTTCAGACCTGTTACTCCTCTAGTTAAAAGTCTAGCAACTTAATTATTTCACCAGCTCCACTTTGGAACTTAATTTCCATTCTACTTGAAACATCAACCATACTGGGGTGCCCGGGTGGCTCATCTGTTAAGTGTCTGACTCTCGGTATCGGCTCAGGTCATGTCTCAAGGTTCGTGAGATTGAGCCCTGCATCAGGCTCTGTGCTGACAATATGGAGCCTGCTTAGGATTCTCTCTTTGTCCCTCTCTCTCTGCTTCTCCCTCACTTGCATTTGCACACACACACTCTCTCTCTCAAATAAATAAATAAACAAATAAATGAATAAAACCATACTAAGGATTGTTTTACCTCTGAAGTTAAAAAAGCAATCATTCCACTCTCTAACAACCTCCTAGATTCATTGGGAGAAATTATGCCAAATTATCTAAAAGGGAAAAGACACTCCAAAAGCTAGCATTCACGTTTCTATAAGAGAAATTCCTAGAAATAGGTTGTCTTTTTTTTTTCTTTTTCAAAGATTTTTATTAAAGGTCTTTACAGAGCAAAATCCAGATTCCAGATCCAGCTGCCAAGGAAACTTTGTTATGCTATGGGTACTGGCTGCAGCATGGCAGGCCTCTCTGGCTTCACACCCTTTTGTTCTGAGATGGGGGTGATAAGCAGTATCTCATCTTTGGGTTCCACAATGCTCACATGATCAGGCAGGAGCTTCTTAGGGCCAATCTACCATTTGGGTCCAAGGGAGGCATGATCTTCACTTTCATACCCTGTACACCCTGTCTGAGCGGCACATGGTACACACTAGAATCATATAGTAGTTAACAGGGCCCCCACTGTGAGTCATCAGGCCATCCACAAACATCATGGATTTAGCCCTCTGTCCTTGTAGTTTTCCAGACACCATGACCTCACAGCCTTGGTCCCACTCTTCACACAGGAGTTTGTAATGCAGAGACTCTGCCTGGACACTAGGACACAGATCTCTTGTGGCCACCTTTTCAGTATAAAGCTCTACACTGCCCTCCAGGAAGCCAAACCTCTTCTGAATCACAGGGGTCAGTTCCCAGAACAACCAGCTGTGTCCTCGCGGCCAAGGTAACGATTGCTGTCCTGGTTGATGTAACTCAGACCTCAACCCCAGAGTAGCCATGTTCAGCCAGCTCCTGAGTGAGAAACTCATTCAATTCAGCATTAAAGATGCCAACTGCTATAAACTCCCTTTCCTTGGAAATGTGCACCGCCATCTTGCCACTGTGCCCTGCTGATAGAAATAGATTTTCTGAATAAAAAAATATAAACATTTATACTTAATAAATAATGCTTGGGGTACCTGGGTGACTCAGTTGGTTAAGCGTCCGACTTCGGCTCAGGTTATGATCTAACAGTTCGCGGGTTCAAGCCCTGCGTTGGGCTCTGTGCTGACAACTAGCTCAGAGCCTGGAGCCTGTTTCAGATTCTGTGTCTCCCTCTCTCTCTCTGACCCTCCCCTGTTCATGCTGTCTCTCTCTCTCTCAGAAATAAATAAAAAACCATTTTAAAAAATTTAATAAATAATGCTTAATTGCTCTCTAAAAACAGGCTATAATATATATTACCACCAAGAGTACATGAGAATTCTTGTCAAACCCCTGGCCATTGAGTATTAGCAATCTTTTTTTTTTTTTTAACCTTTTTTTACCTTTTTATTTTTAAGTAATTTTATATATATGAAAGAATGCAACAATAATACTGAGTTTGTGTATACTTCTTATCCTGCTTCCACGAATGTCAACATCTTGCATGACCATGTTATATCTACAAAACTAAGAAATTAACATTAGTACAACATTATTAAACTACAGTCTATATTTGGATTCTACTAGCATTTTGTTCCACGATCTCATCCAGAGGACCATACTACATTTTTTTTAAGTTTATTTATTTATTTGGGGGTAGGGAGCATGAGCAGGAAAGGGACAGAGAGAGAGAGAGAGAGAAGCCCAAAGAGACTTCACACTGTCAGTGCAGAGCCCAGCTTCAGGCTTCATCTCACGAACCATGGGATCATGACCTGAGCCAAAATCAAGAGCTGAATGCTTAACCAACTGACCCACCCAGGCACCCCAACATTGCACTTAAGTTAGCAATCTTTTTAACCTGTGCAATCCATGGGATAAAAGAAAGAAAAAGACAAAAATGAAGAAAAGGAAGGAAAGAAACAGAGAAAGAAAAAAATTTAAATAGCAAATTGCATAAATGTGAAAAAACCATTACTTCTTTTCTAATACCTATTATCCTTTCTTCAAAAATAAAAGCCCCAAATTTTGACCAGATACAAGTTTTTCAAGAATAGATACTACATTACTTAACTTTCTCAAAGTTATACGTGGTTACATAATTAGGTTCTGACCAATGGGATGCTACCAGAAAAGGTTTGTGCAACTTCCAGGAAAGTACATGAAATAAATTCTTATTTCTTTTCATGTCTTCTTTTTTTTTCTTGTGTAATTGTACTGGATCGAACCTCTGGTACACTGTTGAATAAAAGTAGTGAGGGTGCACTTCTTTGTCTTTTTCTTGATCTTAGGAAGAAAGCTTTCAATCTTTCACTATTTAGTCTGATGTTAGCTGTGGGTTTTCATAGACATCCTTTATCACATGGAAGAACTTCTTTTCTGCTACTAATTTGTTGATTTTTTTCATTTTGAAA